TTTCCTCCTTACCCCATTTCCTTAGTCCTACATTTGTGGACCCGTCCCCTTATTCCTCCTCCTTCAAGATTTTGATTTATGCTTGGACCTGTGGTGAATGCCTAGAACTAAATCACATCTACAAAACCTTTCATTGGCCTGGTAGAGAAAAAGCCACATTTCTGGTGGTTCATCCCAAGACATAGAAACAGAATGCTGATTATCTCTTCTGATAGCCTTCCCTCTCTTTGTCTTTTGTCCTTGATCCTTATTCACTTTATGCTAATTCCCTCCACTAACTGGGGGCACCTTTGGGTTTTATAGCAGTGTGTCTCAACCATGGCTGCACATTATAATCACTTGGGGAACTTTAAAAATAATATCCAGCCCTGAGCTTTACTCCAAAGCAATTAAATCTGTATCCCGGAGAGTGGGGCCTGGGTATTCCTTTTTTTGAAAAGCTCTCCAGACGATTCTAATAGGCAGCCAAGTTTAAGAACCATTGCAGGACACACCTTATCCTAGGAAATAGTGTAGATGTATAGCATCAGCTGAGCCCCTTTCCCCCAACCGGGCAGAAGCAACTTGTTTCCAAATAACTTACTAGATACGGCTCTTGTGAATGTCCTATCTAGTAAGAATGTCCTATCTGTCCACTTTATAACTCTCAAGGAACAATGTATGGGAACTTCTTGAAAATGAGGAAGCCAAGAAATGTGGCTTTTTCTCCCACAATATTAGCCACTCCATGGTGTTCAGAGCAGTATTAACTCAAGTTTGGCTCGTGAATTATAATTTAGATCCATCATTTAAACTCCAGGCTGTGGCATGGATGCCTTGACTACCATTGAATGGGTGCTTCAGAAAGACTATTACTGTGATTTTTTTCTTTAATGGGCTTCATGAGTAAGCAGAATTAGTACCAATAGGTCCTCCGTGTCATGAAGTCAAGGTCTAGTTTCTTTCCTGACAATACCCAATATTTACCCGAAGTACTTTGTGTTTATTTACTTCCCTCAGCATTTACAACTCAATTAATCCTCATTGCAATAATAGTCTTACTGAATACTTATGTGCTGTGTCCTTTTATAAGCTCTTCATGCATATTCATTCATTTACTCTTCCCATCTGTGAATTTTTATTATCCCTATTTTACGGGATAAGAAATGAAGGCAGAAATTGGTTAAGTACTGTTTTAAGGAGGCAGAGATAGTAACTGGTAGAGCTAGGATTCAGGCAGTTTGAGCTCAAGAGACTTTTCTTTCTCTGTTTTGGTTGGTTGTTTAGTATATTTTTTTAAATGTTTTTTTCTTTATTTCTAGGAGAGAGAGAGAAAGAGACAGCGTGAGCAGGGGAGGGTCAGAGAGAGAGGGAGTCACAGACTGAAACAGGCTCCAGGCTCTGAGCCGGCAGTCAGCACAGAGCCCGACGCGGGGCCCGAACCCACGAACCGCGAGATCATGACCTAAGCCAAAGTCGGACGCTTAACCGACTAAGCCACCCAGGCGCCCTAAGAGGATTGTTTTCTTAATTTCTCTTTCTGCTGATTCATTATTAGTGTGTATGAATGCAACGGATGTCTGCACATTGATTTTGCATCCTGCAACTTTACCGAATTTATCAGTTCCAGCAGTTTTTTGGTGGAGTCTTTTGGGTATTCTTATATACAGTATCATGTCATCTGCAAATAGTGAAAGTTTTACTTCTTCCTTACCAGTTTGGATGCCTTTTATTTCTTCTTGTTGTCTGATTGCTGGGGCTGGATTTCCAGTACTATGTTGAATAAAAGTGGTGAGAGTGGACATCCTGTCTTCTTCCTGACCTTAAAGAAAAGGCTCTGAGTTTTTCACCATTGAGAATGATATTAGCTGTTGGTTTTTCATACAAGGCCTTTATTATATTGAGGTAGGTCCCCTCTAAACCTAATTCCTTTAGTTTTTGTTTGTCTGAGAGACTCTTTATCTGTCCTTCTATTCTGAATGATAGACTTGCTGGATAGAGTGTCCTGGCTGCAGACTTTTCCCTTTCAGCACTTTGAAGATATCCTGCCAGTCCCTTCTGGCCAGCAGAGTTTCTGCTGAAAAGTTTGCTGATAGCCTTATGGGGTTTCCCTTGTATGTGACTGTTTTCGTTTGCTGCTTTACATTTTTTCTTTATCACTACTTTTTGTTGTTTGTATTACTATGTGTCAAGGTGTGGACCTCCTTGGGTTAAATTTTTTGGGGGGTGTCTATGCTTCCTGGATCTGAGTATCTGTTTCCTTTTCCAGATTAGGGAAGTGTTTAGCTATTATTTCTTCAAGTAAATTTTCTTAAGACATTTTTTTAATGTTTGTTTATTTTTGAAGGAGAGAGATAGACTGAGCATGAGTGGGAGAGGAGCAGAGAGAGAGGGAGACACAGAATCCAAAGCAAGCTCAAAGCCCTGAGCTGTTAGCACAGAGCCCAACACTGGGCTCGAACTCAAAAACTGTGAGATCATGACCTGAGCCCAAGTTGGACGCTTAACTGACTGAGCCACCCAGGTGGCCCTTCAAATAAATTTTCTGACCCCTTTTCTCTCTTCTTCTTCTTCTTATGGGATCCCTATATTTTATTTAAAAAATATTTTTGAGAGCGTGAATTGGGGAGGGTAGAGAGAGAGTGAGAGAGAGAATCTTAAGCAGGCTCCATGCCTAGTGTTGAGCCTGACATGGAGCTTGATCTCGTGACAGTGAGATCATTACTTGAGCCAAAATTGAGAGTTGGACGCTTAGTCAACTAAGCCACCCAAGCGCCTCCTTCTGGGATTCCTATAATATGAAGGTTATTATGCTTGATGGAGTCACTGAGTTTCCTACAACTATTCTCAATTTGCATAATTTTTGTCATCTCATTTGCTCTTCTTGGGTGCTTTCCATTACTGTCTTCCAGGTCATTGAGTCATTCCTCTGCTTCATCTAGCCTGCTATTTATTCCATCAAGTATATTTGAAATTTCATTTATTGTGTTCATCTCTGATTGATTCTTTTACTTTACATTACCTTTTACTTTGCAGCATCTCCATGCATTCTGTCTACAGTTTTTGGTTGCATTCACTGGGTGATGCAAGGTGGGATGTGCTTACTCCATTTAGCCAAATTTTAAAGTTCATCTTGACCATTTAAAATGTTTCTTCTTGGGGCGCCTGGGTGGCTTAGTCGGTTAAGCGTCCGACTTTCGCTTAGGTCATGATCTTGCGGTTCGTGGGTTCGAGCCCCGCGTCGGGCTCTGTGCTGACTGCCGGCTCAGAGCCTGGATCCTGCTTCGGATTCTGTGTCTCCCTCTCTCTCTGCCCTGCCCCCATTCACACTCTGTCTCTCTCTCAGAAATAAACATTAAAAATTATTTTAATAAAAAATAAAATGAGGAACTTCCATTAATTAAAAGATTAACTGAATAAAAAATAAACCACAAACCTGGAGAAAATATATCTGTAATACGTGCAAAGGGTGACAGGCCAGTACATAGGGTTGACCAGCAACTCCTACCATGTAATAATAAAGTATCTGACCCTCTGATCTGGGGAATTGGACTGTCTATCTCTGCATGAATTCTACGTCGCCTTCATTATTATAGCTTTATAATAAGTTTTAATACCTGGTGGAGCACAGTATTCTGTCTCCTTAACAGTCACTTAGCTATCTTGGCTCTTTGCAGTTCTAGATATATTTTAATTTTTTTTAGTGTTTATTGATTTTTGAGACAGAGAGAGAGAATGAGTGATGGAGGGGCAGAGAGAGGGAGACACAGAATCTGAAGCAGGCTACAGGCTCCGAGCTGTCAGCACAGAGCCCGACGCGGGGCTCGAACTCATGGACCACGAGATCATGACGAGCCAAAGTCGGACGCTCAACCGGCTGAGCCACCCAGGAACCCCTGTAGATAAGTTTTAGAATCAGCTTTTAATTTACACACACACACATGCACGCACGCACGCACACACACACGCACACACGCACATAACCTGCCGCGGTTCTGACGTGGTTTGNGACTCTGAAACAGGCTCCAGGCTCTGAGCTGGCAGTCAGCACAGAGCCCGACGCGGGGCTCGAACCCACGAACCGTGAGATCATGACCCAAGCGAAAGTCGGACGCTCAACCAACTAAGCCACCCAGGCGCCCCTATGTATCTGATCATTTTAATATCTTATGCCTTTGTACAACCAGTTTTGCTAGTAGTACCTTTTACCGTAGATACGTATTTTTTTATTTTTACCATGAGCTCACATTTAATCGCACTTTCTCTGTGGAGATTCTTTGAGGCCTAGGTTAAACATGGATTTCTCTGGGTTTCTTGATTACTTCTACCAGGTACCTGGGAGCATACCAGCCCAAGATTATTTAAAAGTAAAATTTCAGTTTCTGTGTAAAGTAAGTAGTTCACTTGGAGTATGAATTCGGATCATCCACTTGCATAAGGGTTAACCTTTGATGATAAAATCTTAGCACCAAGGCTAAAACGTGCAAGATTCTCTGTTTTCTGTCCCTCCTTTCCATCTCCTTCTCCATGCCCCTTTAAGACCCCAGACCTCTGAGCCTTTCTTCACCTGGCACCTTTCTCCTGGAGTCCCAGGTGATATGCCAAAGGTGAGCCCATGCCAGCCCCCAGATGCATGTCTGGGGAATATGGATCCCTTTCCTAAAAACCACTTATCTCCACCTTTGCTGCACCTCGCCTTGGACTTAGAAGTAAAACCACAAGTCTGCAAAGTGCACGTGGCCTGTCTTCATGACACTCAGTTTGGGAGGAGGAAATTGTGACTTAATACTCATTAAGCCTTTGTCTTGTGTCAGCCACCATCTTGGGGCGTTCACATATGTCACTTAATCCTGGCAGGGAAGGCTCTTCCGTCAGTATTTTGTGATAGAGGAAATCCAGGTCACCGGGGCTGCAGGTGACAACTGTGGCATTAGGATTTGAGCCCCCGTGGGAGTCTTCCCTAAAGGGGCGGCAGAGTGACTGTCACTGTAACTGGCGGTCTGCCCCTCCCTCTCTCCTAGCGGCTGTGCGCCCCCGTGTACTGCAAGTACCAGTTCTTTAAGACTCCAGTTCACAGAACGGAGGGGAAGCCCCATGGAACACACATCTGCTTCCAGGACATCAACGTCATCTTCCTTGGGACGATGCAGCTCAGTGACCTGAGGGAATATCTGGAGGGGCCCCCCATGGTTGTGGAAGTTCACGACAGGGACCGCAAGGTGGAGGAGTTTTCCCGGAAGCCCGCCCTGTTTGGGGATGACCCCTTGGATTCATACTTCAACCTCCAGGCCCTCCTCTCCCCGGAGGAGACCGAGAACAACCCCTTCGAATCCCAGAACAAGACGTGGGACCCTTACGGGGTTGCCAAGGTCAGCTTTGCCGACCTTCTCCTTGGCCACAAGTACTTGAACTTGGTTGTCCCCATCCGCAGGTGTGAGCCCAAGGCCGCACACCACAGCCGGGACGGCAGGAGGAGGAAGGCTGGGGGGTTTCGGGTCCCCACAGACGGCTTCCAGCACCACCCAATGCCTGTGGGCCACTACCTGGAGGCTGACTCCCAGCTCAAGCTGCGGGTGGACATCGCCGCGCCGCTGTGGGTCCGGGCCGAAGCCCCCGGCCCAGGACTCACAGGCCCCCTGTTTGGCCGCATCATTTTCGTGTTTGACTCCCGGAAGCTCTCCCTCCTCTACAGCCTGCTGGAGGACATCACCTCGATCAACGCCGAGGCCCTTGCTCTGGACTCCTGCCCCGCGGGGAACGTCCAGAAGGTTCTGTCTGCCCTTACGATGCGCCTGGGGAGCCAGGAAAGGCGGGACCTGGATGTGCTCACTGGCTTCCACCTGCTGGACGGCAACATCCACCTCGTCGTTCTGGAAGGTTTGGCTGACCGAGGCCTGCGGCGGCTGTGGGGCAGCCATCAGGGCCGGTGAGCGGCTGGTTTCATGTTTCGTGTACAAGGCACTGTATCTGGACGCTGAGTGGGTGGGGAAATCTTTTGCAGGCAGGCTCAGGCTCCGGATCCTCGTCTCTGGGGAGAATATGTTCATTCAGTTCCTCTTGGGTTTATCATAAAGCAAAGGAGAATGGGTCTGCCTCCAGACTTCCGAGGGGCCTACTTGGCTAACGGGGAGAGGAGTGTTCTATGTGGCCCTAAGATGGGCACCACAGGGAAACAGATCTCAACTCAGCCTAAGGAAGACCTGTCCGATGATTTTGAGGCTACAGAAGCTGCCTCGGCTGCAGAAAGCTCCCTTCCCAGATGGCCTTCAGGAGTCCCCGGGGGCTGCTCAGGGGGGATATTGTAGAGGCAGTTAAAGTGCCCGATTCCGGGCTAGAGCAGGTGGCCCCGTGTGGTCCTTCCATTCTTTAGTTTTGGCTTCATGGACACTTCTCTTTTCCTTTCATAACTGGCAAGCATCCTACTTTGGGTTCAAGGGACTTCCCTTTTTCAGTCTGGGAAAGCCCTCCATCGGTCTTTGGAGTTCAGATGCCCAGGACCCGGATGCTGGCAATGGCGGGTAGCCCTGAGGTTGAGTCGCTCCATCTGGGAGGGGAGAGTGGCCCCGCGGGGACCTTTCTCTGTGGAGGAGCTGGCATTATGTCTCCTTATCTGCCCAGGAGAACTGGAAACCTTCGTCCACACAAAAACTTGTACAGGAGTATCCACAGCAGCAGTATTTATAATAGCCAAACAACCCAAAAGTGTCACAACCAATGAGCAAGATGTGATATGTTCATACACATGAGTAATATTCAGCCATGAAAAAGGAATGAAGTCCTGACATACGTACTTCAACATGGGTGAACCTTGAAAACATACCAAGTACAAGAAGCCAGGCCATAGAAGCCCACATGTTGTATGATTCTGTTTATGCGAAATGTCTAGAACAGTCAAATCCATAGAGACAGAAGATGAGTGGTTCCCAAGGTCTCAGGGGAGAGATGAGGGAGAAGTGAGGAGTGACCAATAATAGCTACAGTTTCTTTGGGGGGTGATTAGGATTTTCTAGAATTAATGTTTGTGATTGCACAACATGGTTAATATACTGAAAGCCATTGAATTGTTACAATTGAAAAGGGTAGACTTACAGTGTGCAGTAAAGAATCCGGCCTTGCCTTAAACGTCTGGCCTTTGCCCTTGGCTTCTGGGAGGTGATATATGTCATTCCTAGTATAAGAGTCTTTGTCGGAGGTGGGGGCTGACCACACCAGCTCTTAGGATGGGACTAGCCTCACCTGATAATCATAGGAGAGAGGCTGGCCATGTCAGATGGACCAACGGTGAGATTTACGACTGGGGCTTTGGTCTTACAGTGTCGGTTGATCTAGAGACTGAGATTGCCCGGTGGGCAATTAAGCAATTAATCGGTCATGCCTCAGTAACGGAGCCCAGATAAGAACTCTACCGGCTGGGCTCAGGGGGACTTCTCTCTGCAAATTGTCCCTCATCAGTGTCATAAGGGTAATAGATCCTGATTCCATGAGGAAAGAGCAGTGGAAGCGTGGTGTTTGGAACCACCCTGAACCCTGCCCTTTGTGTCTTTTCCTCTGGCTGATTGTCTGTAATAAGCTGTGAGTGTGAGTGTAACAGCTTTCAATAAGTTCTGTGAGTTCTTGTAGCAAATTGATGAACCTGAGGGTGGTATTAGGAACCCCCTGACCTTCAGTTGGTATCAGAAATCAGGGCAGTTTGGGGGACTCGGACTTTGTGCTTTGGCTAAGTCAAGGGGGATGATATGCCACTGTATCTCAAGGAAAAGTTTGTTCCCAGTAGGAGAAATAATATAAAGTATGTTCATGGACTCCAGTTAAATTAAGCTACAAATAAAAAAATCATTAACTGTGAAAAAATTTCACATGCTTGGAAATGAACAAATACTTCCAAGTAACCCATGAGTCAAAAGAGAAACTGTAATAGAAATTAGACATTATTGGGGCGCCTGGGTGGCTTAGTCGGTTAAGCGTCCGACTTTCGCTTAGGTCATGATCTCGCGGTTCGTGGGTTCGAGCCCCGCGTCGGGCTCTGTGCTGACTGCCAGCTCAGAGCCTGGAGCCTGTTTCAGTCTGCGACTCCCTCTCTCTCTGACCCTCCCCTGCTCACGCTGTCTCACTCTCTCTCTCCTAGAAATAAATAAAAAACATTAAAAAAAAAAAAGAAATTAGACATTATTGAATTGAACAATAATGAAAAGAGTATATTATCTAAATTTGAGGGGTGTCGTTATTTAGAAGAAACTTTATAGACTTAAATACTTATATTAGAAAAGAAGAAAGGCTGAAAATGATTGATAGATGTTGCAGACATTGAAATAAGTGTTTTAAACTATGTCAATAAATGTAAATATGTATAAGAAATTCCAAATAATATAAACATATTTTCAGATAAGGTAGTTTAATGAGGTTTCTGGACACAAAAGTTAATGTAAAAATCTATTGAATTTCTGAATACCATCTACATACAAAAATTATTTTTTAAAAAGTTAACACTTTTAAGTATCATAAAAATATGAAATTCACATGAATAAATTCAACAAAAAGGAGTGGAAGACCTCTATCATGAATATTATGGAACTTTTGAAACAAACATTAAGAAAACCAAAACAAGTGAAGAGACATACCATGTTCATGGATTTGAACACTTAATATTATAGAGGTGTCAGTTATCCCCAAACTGGATATACAGATTCAATGCAATCTCAATTTAAAAATACCACTTTTTAAAAAGTATGAAACTTGAAAAGCTGATTTAAGAGTTTACATCAGCATGCCCAAAATACACTCTTGAATAAGAACGAGATGGGAGAACTCGCTCTACTAGATATCAGGGCTCATTATAAAACAAGCAGATGGGGGCACCTGAGTGGCTCAGTTGGTTTAAGCGACCAACTCTTGGTTTCGGCTCAGGTCATGATCTCACGGTTCGTGACAGTGCAGAGCCTGCTTCGGATTCTCTCTGCCCCTTCTCTGCTCACGTTCTCTCTCTCAAAATAAACAAACATTATATATTAAAAAAGAAAAATATCTCTCGTGGACAGAAAAACAGTGAGGAAAGGAGAAAGTTTTCAAAAAAGGGAGACACAGAACCTGAAACGGGCTCCAGGCTCTGAGCTGTCAGCACAGAGGCGGATGCGGGGCTCGAACTCACAAACCAGGAGATCGTGACCTGAGCCGAAGTCGGACGCTTATCTGACTGAGCCCCCCGGGCGCCCCTTACATTTTCATTTTGAAATACTTCTAGATTCACAGGAAGTTTAAAGAATGCCCCAGAGATCTCACATCCCCGTTCTGCACAATGGTTACACCTTAGCTGACTATCATACAACGTCTACACTGGGCCACTGACAGCAGTGCTGTGTGTGTCGTCTGTACCACAAATTTGTATGACGCCCACACGAATGAAGGCCCGGAACTGGGGTGTCCTCGCAGAGCTCCCCTGCGTGCCACGGATTGACAGTCATGCCCGCCCTCTCCCACCCTCCTCTTTGCCATCTTAATTTTGTCATAGGTGCATCATCTTGCATCTTAATGGCATCACACGGCGTATGACCTTAGGAGACTGGTTTTTCTCCACTCAGTATAAAGTGCTAGGATCTATCCCAGCTTTTGTGTCTATCGGTAGCTCATTCCTGTTTGTTGCGGAATTTTCGTGAAATGGGTGCACCGCAGTTTCACCCTCCGTCTATTGAAAGACATTTTGGTTTTTCCCGGTTTCGACTTTCAGAAACGCCTGATAACGTACAGGCTTTTATGCGGACATACGTTTTCTTTTCTTTTTAATAGAATGATAGTTGGCTTACAGTATGATATTAGCTCCAGGCGTACGGGACAGTGATTTGATGCTTTTACACACTGCACAATGTTCACCTTGGTAGATCGAAACACCATCGGCCACCTACAAAGTCATTACGGTATTATTGACACGATCCCATGACTTACTTATTTTATGACTAGAAGTTTGTAGCTCTTAATCCCCATCACCTATTTCACCCATTCCTCCCCAGCTCCCAGCCCCAGAAGCCACCGGTTTCCTCTCTGTACCCAGTGAATGTCTTGTTGTGTTCGCTCCTTCTGGTTTTTAGATTTCACATAGACGTGTCTTGTCTTTCTCTGTCTGACTCCCTTCACTGAGCATAATCCCCATTGGGGTCACTCATGTTGTTGCTCATAGCAAGATCTCTTTCTTTTTTATGGTTGAGTAATGTTTCGTTGTATATATTTATACCACATCTTCGTTTTTTAAACACTTATTTAGGGGCACCCGGGGGGCTCAGTCGGTTCAGCATCCGACTTCGGCTCAGGTCATGATCTCACGGTGCGTGGGTTCGAGCCCCGCGTCGGGCTCTGTGCTGACAGCTCAGAGGCTGGAGCTGCTTCAGATTCTGTGTCTCCCTCTCTCTCTCTGACCCTCCCCTGCTCACACTGTCTCTCTCTCTCTCTCTCTCAGAAATAAATAAAACATTAACAAAATTTTTTTTAAATTTAAAATTCCATTAAATGGAACAAAATTCCATTAAAAAATCCATTATTTAAATTCAAGTTAGTTAACAGATTACAGTGTAGTACTGATTTCGGGAGCAGAGCCCAGTGATTCATCACTTACCTGTAACACCCAGTGCTCCTCACAACAAGAGGCCGCCTCTGTGCCCATCCCCCATTTAACCCGTCCCCCCCCCCCCAGTTTGTTCTCTGTATTTAAGAGTCTCTTATGGTTTGCCTCCCTCTCTGTTTTTATCTTATTTTTCCACCCCTTCCCCATGTTAATCTGGTGTGTTTCTTAAATTCCACATATGGGTGAAATCATGTTCTGGTCTTTCTCTGCCTGACTTGCTCGCTTAGCGTAATGCTCTCCAGTTTCATCTACGTTGTAGTCAACGGCAAGATTTCATTCTTTTTCATCGCTGAGTAATACTCCACTGTAAACGTGCA